ATAATATTTTGTTCGATGCGCCCTCTTGTGGCCTCAGGAGAGAAGCCAAAAGCTTTTCTTCACCCTAACTGAAATTATGCCTTTTTTAAATTCGAATATAATTCGAATATTGATAATATTTAAGTATAAAATTCGAATTTAGTTTTTCAGCCATTTTGACAGCCCTAATTGACAATGTATTTTAATAAAGCATTGATATTGATGATGTATTTTCTGTTTACCTATTTTAGTGTCTGTATATTTTAAAAATGCAAATCATTCTTATTTGCTGATTTCCTGCTCAAGAAAAATGATTATCAATGTTAAAAGCAGTTGTGCTGCCTAATATTTTGTGGAAACTGTGGTCTTTTTTTTTTTTACATTGTTTACCTTCTGCATGTAACCACCGAAGTGCAGACTGGTGAGCGTCTTCTTCTTCTTGGCGTCGTCCTCCGCTCTCTTTTTGGCTTCCTCTTCCTCTTTGCGAGCTCTTTCCTCCTGAACATTTGAAAACAGGAAAGGATTTGCAGAGCTAGTACCAGTTTGTGTCCATCAGTGTGAGGTTAGAGGAAATGTTTGCACTCACCTCCAGACGCTTCTGTCGTTCCCTCTCGCGTTCGCTGCAGATCCTCTGCTGCTCTGCTCGCTCGGAGCGCCGCTTCTCCTGCGGAGTCACTCACACATTACAACTTTGACAGCAGTTTCAGTGAGAGCTCACTCAATAAGAGCTTATGGGGGCGTTTATTCTTCAAAATGACAGAGCTGATTGATTTGACGCTTGTCTGTTGAGTCCTTTTCAGACTCATTCAGGCTTGAACTGACCACTAATAGACCTGTTAGAATATTTTTACTCTGGGTCACATGTTTGCCCCAATGATTGCATATTTGTCATTTCTCTGTTTTTGTCTTTAGGAATTAATAAATTTATGATAAGTATGTTTACATGGTAATAAGCAGCTGTGATGTAATGGGACAACATTGCTCACTCACAATCCTATCTTTAAGACTGATGAGTTCCTCCTCCTCCTTCTTACGGCTTTCAAAGTGAGCTTCAATCAGCGTCTGGAGCTCATTCAGGTCTTTCTCCATACGTTTACGATGGATATCCTGAGGGGGAAAACATTTGACCTTTGAGATTGTATCTGAGACGGTTTGCCTGACAAAATGTGCAAGTTCAGGTACACAGAAGCATAAATCAAAAGCTCATGCAGAAATTTGCATCTCGAAATGTCTGCATCCAGTGAAACATTCTGTTGAATTTATAGAATTGCTGGTTTCTACAAATCTTCTAATGCATGTTTTCGGTCGTCAAGATATTTCAGGACTTCAAAACATCTGTCTACTCTCTAATAAGTAAATGGGTCATCAGAGAATAGCTAGCCCCTTTCACACATACAGTCTTTACTGGTAAATTACCGTTAAGAGATCATGTGTGAACAGGACCTTTTCAAAAATACCGGTACATTCGTTTTGGCAATTTCACGGTATGAGAAGTTGTTCCTGCTCAAGAAAAATGATTATCAATGTTAAAAGCAGTTGTGCTGCCTAATATTTTGTGGAAACTGTGGTCTTTTTTTTTTTTTACATTGTTTATTTGAAATATTTTTTTTTTGTAACAAAGTGAAGACTTTTGATCAATTTAATGCATTTTTTCCTAAATAAAAGTGTAAAAAAAAAAAAAAACTTTTGAACAGTAGTGTAAATTATGATAGTTATGCATATTGTGTTTTAGGTGAATTTTAGAAATATGTTTCAGAAGTGCCATAGCTAATGGTTTAAATGTTTTTAATTATATACAATTTTAAAAGCCATCCCAGTCAAGTAGAAGATTGAATCTTCATCTCTGACATGGCCTTTTTTTATTTATTTATTTTTTTAAAATATTGTCAGATTTCTGTCACTAAACTCAAAAATGTATAGGTCTTTATCATACTCTCTCGTCTTTCAGCTCTGACCTTCTGCATGTAACCACCGAAGTGCAGACTGGTGAGCGTCTTCTTCTTCTTGGCGTCGTCCTCCGCTCTCTTTTTGGCTTCCTCTTCCTCTTTGCGAGCTCTTTCCTCCTGAACATTTGAAAACAGGAAAGGATTTGCAAAGCTAATGCCAGTTTGCGTCCATCAGTGTGTGGTCACAGAAAATGCATCCACTCACCTCCAAACGCTTCTGTCGTTCCCTCTCGCGTTCGCTGCAGATCCTCTGCTGCTCTGCTCGCTCGGAGCGTCGCTTCTCCTGCGGAGTCACTCACACATTACAACTTTGACAGCAGTTTCAGCGAGAGCTCACTCAATAAGAGCTTATGGGGGCGTTTATTCTTCAAAATGACAGAGCTGATTGATTTGACGCTTGTCTGTTGAGTCCTTTTCAGACTCATTCAGGCTTGAACTGACCACTAATAGACCTGTTAGAATATTTTTACTCTGGGTCACATGTTTGCCCCAATGATTGCATATTTGTCATTTCTCTGTTTTTGTCTTTAGGAATTAATAAATTTATGATAAGTATGTTTACATGGTAATAAGCAGCTGTGATGTAATGGGACAACATTGCTCACTCACAATCCTATCTTTAAGACTGATGAGTTCCTCCTCCTCCTTCTTACGGCTTTCAAAGTGAGCTTCAATCAGCGTCTGGAGCTCATTCAGGTCTTTCTCCATACGTTTACGATGGATATCCTGAGGGGGAAAACATTTGACCTTTGAGATTGTATCTGAGACGGTTTGCCTGACAAAATGTGCAAGTTCAGGTACACAGAAGCATAAATCAAAAGCTCATGCAGAAATTTGCATCTCGAAATGTCTGCATCCAGTGAAACATTCTGTTGAATTTATAGAATTGCTGGTTTCTACAAATCTTCTAATGCATGTTTTCGGTCGTCAAGATATTTCAGGACTTCAAAACATCTGTCTACTCTCTAATAAGTAAATGGGTCATCAGAGAATAGCTAGCCCCTTTCACACATACAGTCTTTACTGGTAAATTACCGTTAAGAGATCATGTGTGAACAGGACCTTTTCAAAAATACCGGTACATTCGTTTTGGCAATTTCACGGTATGAGAAGTTGTAACATTACTAGTAAATTATCGGTAATGTGCTCTGTGTGAACGCAGAACGAGATTACGTGAGAAGTTTACTCTGGGCCAATCATAACATTCTAATAGGGCTTTACCGGAAAAAAGACGGAACGTAGTTGTCTGTGTGAACAGTGCATTTTTGTATTTACCGCTAAAGTCATTCCGATAATTTTACAGCAATTTACTGGTATTACTGTGTGAAAGGGGCTAATATTTCAAACTCAGTCGTGCGTGTTTTTGGTGTAAAAACAAATTTGGTAAAAAATGAACCAGAGCCCAGGCAGAACTGCTTTAGAAAATACCCCAGATATTTAAAATGATAAGAAATTACATTACAGTAATTATAAAATTATAAATAAAGTTTTAATATATTAAATGATAATTGTTTTAATTATAAAATATCATTTTTATTATTATTTTGTTATCTTTTATTATCTAATATTTCATAATATCCTAGGCCTATCTGTTATATGACAAATACTACCATTTAAAAGTTTTGGGCTCAGATTGTATATTATTATTATTATTATTATTGAAGGAATTAATATTTGTATTAATAAAGCAATGGCGACTTAAATTGATTGATGCTGCTCTTTTGAAGTTTCTATTCATTAAAGAATCCTAAAAAAAATTTTTTTTTTTTTACTGGTTTTTATTTTTGCATTGTGTTTACTATTGTCCTCTTGCATTATCGACACAGGATTTTCCGGTTTAATACTGTAAAGCTGCTTTGACACAATCTGTTTTGTATAAAGCGCTATATAAATACAGTTGACTTGACATTCTAGAGTGGTTTGACATCCATCATTAATAAGAAAATAAAATGTGGAATCCACTTCAGTTCCGAAATCATATGGCAGATATGCTTAGAATGGCAAAGTGATGGCATGGTTATTAAAAGACAAATGCCAGTCTTGACCCATCATAACCAAAATAGTTTCATGGCGCTGTGGGTCTCTTGGTATGGTAATTTTACTCACATCAAAATCAACTCTTTCTCCATCTGGAATCTTTGGGGGCACCAGGTTCGGCAACATAAATGGTCTGGAAAATATAATGATGATGTTTCAAAATTCTGTATGAAATGAAAACAAGTGTTGTTGATCTTTAAAAAAAAAACATAAAACCAATCAATGGTTATTAATCTAAACTTACTTTAGGAATTTGGGTTTCGCCTCATCTGAAGAATCAAACATACAAACAACAGAAGCTATTCAAAGTTATGTGAGACACTTTTTAAAAGACTTTTTACTTTTAAAACTATAACGTGTTGCATATATGGTCAATCAGGCGTGTCTGATTATAAATATCTGAAGCCTAATTTGCATACATCTTCCCTCTGTGTTCTCATGGCAGTTATTGCACAATAGCCAACGGTTACAGATGAAGAAGAATGTGTCATTAAATCCGGGAACGAGATTATAACCAAAATACTGCTGTCTTATTTTTGATGGAATGAATGTTATCATAAGAGGATTTGGGATGATCTAAAGCTTTGATGAGATAGTTATCCAGAAGGGTGTGTGTCATAATACAGGTTTCTACATGTTTCAAACAATTACTTGAGAGCTGTAAATCTCAGGTTTCCTGTCTTTGCAGTGCAATAAAGAGCAAATACCTCCTCCATCTTCGGTGTCTTCTTCACCATCTGAAGGAAGGAAAGGAAAGGAGGTTACGGGTATTCAGCATCACTGACAGTCTCGCAGAAAACAGAGGGACAAAAATAGAAACTGATAACGGAAAAATGGTGGAAAAATCGCCATCACATACCAAACACTCGTCACTTCAACTCTACATAGAGCAGAATATTTGATTCATCCCATGTGTATTTGTCATGAGTTCAATTAAATGATAAACAGATGTACACAGAAAAAAAATAGAAATGCAACAGCTGATATATATATATATATATATATATTGAAAGGTAATGCATGTGTTTTTTGTGAATCTATTCTATTGGGGGGAAAAGTATGACTTTATTAAATATATTTAACCAGGCAATACATACAATTTATGTATAATTAATTTGTTTTTATCTTCTATAGAACAGAAAATAAGATATTTTGAAAAAAAGTAATCTGCTTCTTGTTTAACCCTTAATATTAATACATGAGAGGTTTGCATGAAGTTGGACAAAGTAGATTTTATATAGATTTCAATTAAATATTTACTTTTTTTTAAAAATGTACTCGTTTTAAAAAGTGTTATGATGGCTGGTCAAACTAGTGGAATTTGATTCAGTGCATTTTACTACATTAAACAACTTGATTTGAGACTGAATGGATCAAATTAATTTTGAAAGAAAAAAAATCTCTTTGCTTCAAAATATAATACCAAATTTTTCAATTCAATGCAATTTTTTCCATTTTGGGGCCCTAAAGTTTTTATGTTGTCAAGTTAAGTAAGCTAAGTAGGCTAAGTAAGCTTTACTATGATCGTCCATCATAACTTTTCACCTCAAAACTATTTTATTTGGAATAATATAAATATATAAATTGGTTTTATATGCTAAATGACTAAATGTAAATGTTTTGCTTTTGGAAGATAGTGGCATATTTTATTCTTATTTTTATATATATTTTTTTATTAATGTAAATATTTTTTCTTTTTCAGTCCAAGGGAATATGCCATAATTTTGTAGAGAAATTCCTGGTTACTTTAAATTACTCATAGTCTTTTTTAAAGAACTCTTCATGATCTCCTCACATTATTATTTTTGGTTTGTTTATTGACCAAAATCTCTTTTTGAATATTTTTAGCAGTTTATTTAATTTAAATGAATGAATAAATGAAAACTCTTCTCAACAGAACTCCGAATTATCTTTGCTTGCTTAAGTTATTGGAACAATTCAATGATCCGTTTCTTTTCAATTGTAAATTGTACGTTTTATAAATGATTTGTTACATTTTCTGGCAAAGTTGTCAGTATTCACAAATCGTTTATTTGGGCGATGTAGATCTGGTGGGCTTTGAGGTCAAACTGAGGGTCCCACCAACAGGACTCACCATGTTCCTGAGTGGTCTCTTCCTGTTCTCCTGCTTCCTCCTCATGAGCCTCTGAATATGGAGAAAGTTGAAGGATGGGTGTAGTTAGCATTGCCGTTAACTATGAGTCATTTGTTTCCCTTCATTAGGTATCAAATTACATAATTCCTTTGAATTTAGTCATTGCATCAATTTGAGAGTGTGGAAAATACAAACTCTAATAGAAGTATGTGTGTAAGAGTGTGTGATGAAGCTAATTTGGAAGATGTGAGTTAATTCCCGTGGGCAAAGGAGCTGTATACCAGCCTGGGCATGATGGGTACTGGTGGCAGGCTTGTTAGGTTAGGCATTCCTCAAATCTCTCAGATGGTTACACACTTACACACAGCAATAAACACGTCTCTACCCAGCTGCACAACTGTTGTCTATGATATAAATGCGCCGGCATGTCTGAATTTGTACCACCCTTAAAAAGTATTGTTGTTCGGATGGTAATACCATACTTTGAGTTAGTTCCTTTCCTCAAATCTGATTGACCAAGCAGCATTCGAAAAATGTGGATCATTGTTAGACTGTTCATTTTACATTGATACTGTATGAGTCATTGAAGAATAGAAAGAGCTTTAGTAATAACTAAGGGAAAAATTACTATAAAGCAAATTTCTTGTTAAAAATTAAATCAAAATATGAAAAAAATGGCCTAAAACCTACATTTATTTCTTGATTTTAGTTAAATCATGGCCATATGCTGCCTATGGAAGCAGCATTGTTCAGTTTTTGAATGCAGCCTATGAGGGAATCGTTGAATTATTCACTTCACCAATTTGTTCAAAAACACTCATTCTGAGTACTTTGCTGAGTACTAGGGTTGTGACGGTGAGGACATTTTCCCACCGGTTAATCGACGTGTGACAACACCGGTAATACCGGTATCAACGCGGAGGCGGGCGTTCCCTCTTTTCCTGGCTTTCCTTGGCTTTTAAATATCTTGTAAAAGCGGCGTGCGCATTTTACTTTCACTTTGAAATAGCGGCAATTCGGAGTAAAGCAATTGTTCATTTTTAGTTCGTTTGAATTTTCCCTCTTTTCCTCGCTTTCCTTCGCATTTTAAAGAGCTTAAAAGCGCCGTGCGCATTTTACTTTCACTTTCGAATTAGCGGCAGGTCGGCGTCAAAGTTGACACAAAGTTTAAATAAAGTAAAAATCAGCAAACAATGTGGAACCAATTAAATAAGAAACGAATGTTTAAAAAAAAAAACTTCCAAAATCACCTTAGATAAACGGCAAAAGTCAACAGGCTTTTCAAAATCCAAAATATTGCCAAACAGGCGCTTTTGCATCTCGTTTCGAAACTAAATCATCCGCGATCGTCTTGTCTGTCTCACCTCACTCTTCTTGTCAGTCAGCTCGACTCACTCTCCTCACTGGATAAATTAAATCTGATCTGTGATGCGACTGTCGTTCGGCACGCTGCATTGAGCAGCCGCGTTCAGTTTTTAATTGTAGTGTCTGTTCTTTTACTGTACTAAATTATTTTTATTACTATAAAAAATCAAAACGACGGTGGGGGTCGGTGCCGCGGTGGGCAAGTGACATAACCGGTGTTGCGGCTTAACAACGTTATCACCGTCAGCACCGTCTATCGCGGCAAGCCTACTGAGTACTATATCGGATTTTGCTGTGGATGTGTTTTGAAACTATGTTCTTTGGCAGAGCAAAAGCAGACAAAGAAAGTATTGTCTAAAAATTAAGATGCGTTACATTAGCAAAATTTCTTAGGCAGAAAAGGTCCATTGTCTATTGTCGATAGTGTAGTGACATATGAAGCATGGCTCGCACAGAAGTTGCTTTCAAACCAAGCAGCTTGCTTTTTGGTAATTGTGGCAAATTTGCATCACCAAATTGAACTTGAGGGAAATCTGTGTGAAATTCCCAGCCGTGTGGATTCCTATTGAAATTACTGTAAATTCACTGAACAATGGTAAATACTGTATGCCTGCACATTTTCAGCCAAAATCCAGTCGTTTCAATTGGAATCCACACTTTTTCATGGGGTGCAAAATTCGCTATCGGTCATTTCATACTGTTGCTCTGTTAAATTTTGTAGGTGAAATCCAATAGGAATCTGTTCAGTCTGGAGTTTCGCATAAGAGTGAAAACACAGATTTCCCTACACAGATTTCGCTAATTTTCATGTTGGTCACACAAGTTTGCCACATTGAAATTTGCCACTGCATAATAAAACCAGCCCCATTGGTTATCAAAATCGCATTCCGGGGGGTCAAAACCTCCTTCCAGGGGGTTCCACCTAGGTTGAAATGTTCCAAGGGGGTGGGGGGTTTCGCTTCAATGGGCAGAAACCCACAGAAATAGTATAAAAGTAACCCAATTCAATGGGAAAACCAAGGACTTGGCAACACTGATGTTGACCAACATAAAACTGTTATAACTTTAAGTATAAGCTGTGTTTCATACATCTCTACACTATTGACAATGAACATTTTTGGCCCACGAAATTCTGCCTAAATTTCAGTAACCTTTGACTTCTTGTTTATTATACAACTGTTCAGATGAGGTCACATTTACTGTTGCTCAGAGAAATTTGCAGGCAAAATCCAGACATTCCAATAAGAATCTGCGTGATTGGGAGTTTTGAGTAGGGGTGAGAAAGTTCCCCATGAGGATTTCGCTCATTTTCAAATTGGGTGTGTGAATTTGCCGCGCTGAGTGACTTCTATGGGAGCGGTCGCTATTTTTTGACATCAACCAATATCTCTTTTTATCCTGCAAAATTTCTCTGCAATTTTGCTAATGTGGCGGCACCTTTAACACAGTCACAATCGTGCTGCTGTTGCGAATATCGGCGGTTAGGCCTATTACCTTTTGCAACCTCAAAACAGCAGCTCTCTTGTTCATGCAAAAATTTGTTTAAATATACCCTGCGATGATTTCCATTTTCATGTATCATGTTATTTACTCACAGAATGCCATGGTACATATCCAAAAATATGGTATAACCATGCTACCATAGTATTTTTTAGTGTTAGTGAATGGCTTGTGCCCTTTGCCTTTAGCAGATAACTACCTTCCTCATGCTGCACCTCCTCCTGCACCTCCTCCTGTTCCTCCTCCTGCTCCTCCTCTTGCACCTCTAAGCCACACCATGCAGGTTAGGTGAGTAAACAAACAAAAACACGTCACAGAGATGGAAGCTAGGAGGTCTGTTCACACTGAAAGACAGTAATGGATTAGTGATGATATGCAGATGCTTCAGAACTCTCTGCTCTATTCCATATGTCTCATTTTTGGGTGTGTTTTGTTGAAAGCTTACTAGCAGAATACTGCTGCAACTCACAAGAAAAACTCCGCTTTCACGCTCATAAATCCATGTGACGGGTCACCATATCTTCCGCACTTACACGCCAGAATATTTATGATTTTTGTTTTAATCTGCCAAGGTGTAACATATGCCGTGCAAAAACCTGATCAACTGGTATTTTTGGTTTTATTGAAGTATTGTTATATCAACCCTGTTGAAAAATGTTGTATCTTTAACATATATCACCATATAGTCGGCAGCTTCACTTTTCTAAAACTATGTAGCTGCAAGGCCAATATTTACAACCTATTTTAAAAACAAAAACTGTATTTTCTTGTTTACAGTGGAAGTATGAAAGTAATATAATGAAACACAAGACTTACCCTCCTGCTCCCTAGAGAACAAGACAGAATAGTGCTGTTATTTCCATTGTTCTCATAGCTCAAGTACCTTCCCAACAGCTGCCTGAACTCTCAGATTAAATCAGATGAGTGGGATATATGACAAGCAGATGCTACTAAAATAACCTATAGCACTGTAGTATACAGTTAATGCACAGTATTCTTATTTAAAAAACGTAATATTACTAGAAAAGAAACATCGTAAGAGACAAATCTGTCACTGATGGATGGATGATTATTGAGCAATGAACTGGAACACTTACTCGTACTCCTCCACTTCTTCGTTGTCTGACATTTTTACTCTGTAAAAAAAATACATTAAAAAAAAATATATATTTAAAAGAATAATCAATATCATAAGTGATCCAAAAACACACATTTTTGTTTTTCTAAACATTCTAAAAATTCAGTTCTTTTTTTGTTGTTTTTATTCTAATTTGAAATGCACTTTTTGTACTATTATACATCCATTTTTCTGTACATAATACATCAGTAATATGCTACATAATACTCTTACCTGATATACCAGCAGAGATGTGTGAAGGAAGGCTGTCTGTCTGAGAGGCGTGCTCTGGCTCTCCTCTTGATTCTTATATGATCTCATATGCTGGGGCTCATGCATCTCACTCACTGTGGTTATTTTTACCCTCAGAGATAAGTGGAGAACAGTCGTGCAAACACTCCCTAAAAGGCCGCTGTCATTGTTATGGTGCAGAGAATGGCAATGGCTAATGTCCATATCAACACGAGTCTCTTAGAGGTGTCCTCTGATAACACGTGGGACTGGTTAGTCTCTGACCGGTTTGACTCACTTCATGGCACCATGCTTACCATTCCACATCTCCCTCACGCCAACAGCCTGAGATCGCACCACGCTCAGATGTACAGTTTAGTTTGTACCCAAGATCAAGCTATGTTGGAAGGTTTAAAACAGTTTCAAGGTTAGTTTGAACTTAGACCTTATGTTGTTTGAATACCTAAGTATGTTGAAGAGAGATTAATTTTTATTTATTTATTTTAAGGATTTAGGCCTTGTTAGATGTTGGGAGTTTTCTATGCTGTTGCTAGTGTGCTTTGGGTGGTTACTAGATGGTTGTTCGAGAGGGACACTTTGATATTCATGTAACATGTAGCTCAAAGATTCGCACAAAAAAAAGGGAATACAGTATGTGGAAAATAATGTGTTTTTTTTACTTTAAACCGCATAAACACATTTCATTACACCAAATACACAAAATAATGTTCTTTTTAGCAACGTCATATGACCCCTTTAATATTACTAATAATAATATTATTAATGACAAAATAGTATTAATGATAACATTTTTGTTAATTGTTATTATTTTGAAAATTATTATATTTCTTATTTTAATAAAGTCATATACCTTCAAGCCTCCATCATTTAAACACTATTTTTTATATAACATGAAAAATATTTCTTCTAGCATTTCATTAAAACACGACACAACATAACAACAACAACAGTATTAACAATACTTTTTAAAAAATAATTAAATAAATATTTAATTATAATGCCAATATAACTAAATTATTTTAGCATGTCGTTACTGAAAACATGAGACAACATAACCACTGATAATATTATTATAATACATTACCAATATTATAATTAGTATTGTTGGTAATATTAAATTACTGTTGTTGTTGTTGTTATTAATAAAAATAAATACAATTGTATTAATAATACCATTATTATTATTATTATAAAATGTAATATTTCCTATTTTCACAAATTCACATCCTCATAAGCCTGCAATCATTTGAAAACATGAGACAACATAACTACTGGTATAAAAATTTTATTAATCTACAGCATAACCCTTCTGGGCAGAAAAGATAATTACATGACAGGTCGTTCAGCAAAAAAAAAAAAAAACGTAGGCTTTGATTGAGTTGGAATGGATTGAAGTCAGTTTTCAAAGGGCTTGATAGAACACATTTTGCCATTTAGATTACATCTAAATTACATTTCCTTATTATGACTTAAGTCTCCGGCAAGTTGAAACAACAGCAGTGAGAGCATAGGTCAGCTTCAGCGCATGATTCCCGCTTCATTACAAATTAATCATCAAGTTTATTTAGAGTAGGTTCATTTAAACAGACATTCATGATATTACAGTTGTACCTTGGACTGTTATGAGTTATGGCTGAGGTCACAGATTATGCCTCTTTCTTCTAATAACTTACTTATCAACTGCACAAATATCAAGGCAGAGGAGTGTCTTACACCAACACAAAGAAGCTGTATGTTTGTATTCCTGCTGTCAGATAAACCCTGTGATGTTCAGTTTCTGTGTTAAGACCCTATAATACAGTCCTGTTGCATTCCACAGTCCATTAGTACACACATTCACAACCAATAACGTAAGCCTTGAATATACCCAAATAATGTAGATCAGTACTACACCTTAAAAGTGCTGAGGAATTAGCCAACGTAAAGTAGCAGACGGAAAGGGAGTTTAGAGACAATCCTTGGCACTGACTGTCTGAAAGAGTCGATCAAGCTTCCTTCAAAATCTTCAGACTCTGCAGAGATGCATTATGAATCTCATTAAAGCTGTAATGCAGAAAAAAACCTGGATACAGTGATTTGTTAAAATTAAAATGCACAAATTATCTTAATTACAATTATTACTGTGATGAATAATACAACTTTACAATTAAATAATACAATTTGTGTTATTATAATGAGAAACGTGTATGCTTAAATGAATATAAATTCCTGTATAATTTTGTATGTCTTCTGTACATTTTTTAATGATGAAATATGAGTCAGACATTTTTTCATCACAGTGGTCCTTCTCTATTTTTATTGAGACGCAAACGATCACCTCACTTTGTCTTTATCCATGAGAGTGTCACTTGTGGTCCTGGTCTTGTCCTCTTTCAAACAAACTTTTCTTAATGGAGATGTTCACATGTCTCAGATCCTGAGCATAAACAAATGAGAATCAGTATTATGTATTTTAAGCTTTTAACTCATTCATGTCAAGTTTTGCAAGAGGCTTCCACATTACATGTGACACAACAAGCCATCAGCACCACAGACTTAGACTGCAATCTGAATGGGTGGACATTTCGTCTCAAAATAAAAACGAAAGAAATATGGATTAATATACTGCATAAAGAAAGTGAAACCTGTTTTAGGGCTTTTCAAATTTTTATTTTATTTTTTTGTATTGCAACAGTATTTTCATGACCGCTGATCACACTTTCAACACAACTATGAGATGAGGATGATGATGGTGGTGATGATGATGATGACACGGTAAATGTTTTCTTCTGAACCCAGCGATTAATTCGATCAGAGATTCCCGAAGAAAAGCTGCGAAATTCCTAAAACAAAGTAAACGATCTTAACAAATGATTGAATGGTCAGTTCAGATGAGCTCACACAAGTGAATAAATAACCCATTTTTCAGAGACCGAATGGTCCTCACCTGTTTGGAGAACACATGGCTTCGGTCAGATTCCTCCTGTTCTTTCTCAAACAGCTCCCTCTTCCTTGACACCTCATTAAATGTAAGCTCATGCCTACATAATGCAGCCCTTACCAAAGGACTATGAGATGAGGATGATGATGGTGGTGATGATGATGATGACACTGTAAATGTTTTCTTCTGAACCCAGCGATTAATTCGATCAGAGATTCCCGAAGAAAAGCTGCGAAATTCCTAAAACAAAGTAAACGATCTTAACAAATTATTGAATGGTCAGTTCAGATGAGCTCACACAAGTGAATAAATAACCCATTTTTCAGAGACTGAATGGTCCTCACCTGTTTGGAGAACACATGGCTTCTGTCTGATCCCTCCTGTTCTTTCTCAAACAGCTCCCTCTTCCTTGACACCTCGTCCGCTAAACACACAGTCTGGTGCACCACTGGGGATTTGGATATTTCCCATTTCTAAAAGTTGGATAGAGCAATACATTTCTCAAGCACGATTTCGTTTTTCTTACATTCAGCAGTATCTGGTGCTGTTCACAAAATGGGCCTAAAACGCTTTCAACAAGGTACTTAGCCTGAAAAATATTTCATAATTTTCTGAATTTTATTCAAACTTAATATTATATTATCTCCTTTATTTCTTATTGATTGCAACAATAGAATATTTGGGACACATCTAAATGCAGTTTAAAAACTGTATTTATGTGATTTTCTAGAAATTAATATAAAAATTAAATGGATAAAATCTACCATAAAACAAAAGAAAACTATTTTAGTTTTGGCAAACAGACATTTTATGTGTTTTAAAACTAGCAACCTTTTATGCTACGTTAATTTTCTGTTAACAGTTTCAGGGTTTCTGCAGGTTTTATGTAAGACTTTAAAGACCTTTTTAAGAAAAATGTAAGGAATAAACTGGACCGAATATGTCAGTATGGTCTCTAAATTGAAAATACAACATCCAACAGATCTCAGAAAAAAAGAAAGAAAAAAGCTGATGACTTGAATTGCTCTGCTGAGTCACAAATACCAACAAATATGAAAATATATTTACCTGCACTTTCTGATCACACTGCAAAAAAAGTTGTGTTCTTCCTCTGAATTTTTTGTCTTGTTTTCCAATGCAAATGTCCAAACAAGCTTAAATCAAGAAGATACATGTACCGGAGATGCAAAATGACCAAATAAAGTGAGGTTATGATTAAAACAAGAACAAACATCTGCCAATGGGCTCAGAACGATCTACTTAATTCAAATGAAAAGGTTTTAATATCCCACTGACAGATTTAAATTTTTCAGCATAAACTCATTTATTTTTGTTCAGTTTTTCAGAAAGCAAGACTTCATATCTTCAATTTGCATCTTGAGTAAATGTATCTTGATTTAAGAATGTTTAGATACATTTATTAGAAAGCAAAACAAAAATACTGAGCAAGATATTTCGCTTTTGTTTTTTTGTTTTTTTACAGTGTATGCAACATTTTATACCATGTCTTTGTGAATTTAAGACTTTCTGCTGCAATTTAAGTTCTCACAAACACATAGTTCTCACGAAATAAACAACAACAACGACAACAAAAATGCATTTTTATCTATAATGCATTTTAAAAAATCATGGGACAACTTTTTTGTTGTTTCAGATGAACTTTGTGTAATATAACATACATAACAAGTATATACAACATAAGTATAGAAAGATTATATGAATATAAGTTTCTTGGTGTGATTTTACACCATAAATTCTGCTGGAAACCGCACATAAAACACGTCAAAGCAAAATTGGCAAAGATAGCAATACTGAATAAACCAAGATATATTTTGGACAATAAAGCAATGCATGTTTTGTACATTAAACTTATATTACCGTATTTGAGTTACTGTGTGTAAATCTGGGGAAACATTTACAAAACTAATGCATATTACAAAAGAGAGCAATTAGAATCTTCAATACCGTTGGACATTTGGAACAGACAAATTCTTTATTTTTAAAGTCACATATATTGAAGTTCATTGATGTGGTTAAATTTAAGACGGCACAAGTCATGTTCAAAGCAAGAAATTCTTTACTTCTGGGAAATTTACTAAAAATGTTTATGGAAAGGCAG